AAGTTCAATGGTTACGATCATGAGTCAGTTGAAGCTAGACCACCATGGAAAACCTGGAAGCACTGGACGGCCGTTTCGTCCTATTGTGGGACTCCTCAGCAGTGCGCACCCACGATCCCGCCCCCTGCGGGAATCGAACCCAGGGCCTACTGGTTTCGCGCGCGAGCACTTAACCACTAGACCACTGAGCCCGCATTTAACGGTGTTAATGTCTAACTTCAACTCATTCACGAAATTGAGCAACACACCCATCATTGTCTTCAGTGAGTTACTATCTCATATGATGGTCTAGCTTCAACTGACTCATGATCTTAAGCATTGAAATTACTAAATCTCCACAAAAACCCATCTGATATTTCAAGTATTCATACTTATCTGAACTATATGAAAACTATGACCAATGTTCTGTAAACTCAATAAACTAGATAGTAATAACAAATTTTGATGTATATATATATATATAATAATACCAGAGTATAATTCATTTTACAAATATACCACACGGGTTAACAACTCAGAATACTAATAATAATAAATCCATTGAGACTTAGCAACTAGATACACGGGGATGTGTAATCAATAGTGAGTGCTAGTCACACTACTTAAATAGTTTCAAGTTTAATGTTCTAATCATTAATTTGACACGTCTTAGAAATAATTGGAATATCGACTATGAAAAGTTCGTTTATGATATATGATTATACAACATTAGTAAAAATTCTATTTATTAAGTGTACTTGTTTTAAGAAAAAATGGAATTCATGTAAACGAACATTAGTGGAGTTGGACAAAAAACATGTTCATGAAGTATTTCTATACAAATAAAATCCCTTTCAAGTGTCACAGATGAAATAAATTCCCAATAGTAAATGAATAAGAAATGAAAACAAAGCTTTTCAATAGTTCCATATTCTGTATGTAAACCGGAAAAATTATCAACAAATGTTTGACAAAACTCGGTTCTCTTTGATTTTAACACTTCTATTATTATTATTATTATTATTATTATTATTATTATCAATTTTAACGAAATATATATTTAAACAAAATAACATATATTTCGATCAGTACGCACTTTATAACTTATGTCAGATGATACGGAAGAAGCGGGCAAATCAATTTTCGCAACAGACCATAATACGTCATTCGATATAACATTGTTCGACGCATATTTTGATGACCACAGATCAACATTTTCGCATGTGACCGATGATTTACCGAATTCTTGAGTACTATGCTTTATACATGATCTTGTAAAGTAAACAAAATTTTATTTTTTTAAACAAAAAGCCATTAAGATTATACATATACTGCTTATAAGACGAAGAAAATTGAGGATAAATTGTTAGGTAATTGATAGGGTAAAATGAAGAAATAATAAATACAAATACATACATTCAAATGACTTTCACAGACTATCATTTTGTCCATACATCATAATTAAAGCTAAACGATAACACAAAGTACGGGTATATACCTGGTAAAGTAATATACTCAAATAAGAAATAACTATAGATGTCAAAACTTCATGCAAACAATCAGAAATCACACTTGTACGCGTAAAGTATAGAATTTTAAACTTCACATATTGGTGGTTTTATTCTATGGATTTTAAAAATATCATGTTACCGTAACTTTATTTTCCGAGAAAAACAAAACTAGTAAAATTACACGAAGGGAATATGCTTCATTTAAGAACACTGATTCTAAATAAATGACAGACACTAGACCTTTATCAGTTTATGTATGTACTTACAAAATATGAATAAATGTTGTAATCAAAAATGTTAACAAGAGATTACGTAAGTAATGAGGTAGACAAATTATGACTTCACAATTCCTAGAATACTTCTTGTAAGTAAAAAGATAAATTAACGTAAAAAATGGACAGGCCTAAGAGATAATTAAAAAATGTTAACTTTTATTTGAATGATATATACTGTGAGGTAATACTGAGGATATTTTATTCCAGGAATTATCAATAGGTGTGCATATAATAGATTTCTGAAGTTAAATGTATGGTAGTTAAGACAAAAAATAAATTTAGATGACGTGAAGCTTAAACGACAGATGGGTCCCATTATTGCGCTAATTATTCCTCCTATAAAAAGAGAAAGAACCCATAGAAATGAAACGATCAGTGTGTGCTACAAGTACTATACACACACATACACACCCTCACACCTTATAACTTGAATCTGTTGAAAGGATAGAATCACGTTGTTGATTTTGATGTAAATCAATTTTGGCAACAGACCATACATTTGAAGGATATATACGTGCATTATCATTTTCATTTGATGACCATAAATCATGATTTTTGCATAAAACAGCAGATTCCCCACGTTCATAAGTATTTTGCTTAACACATGAACTTTAGAAAAGAGAAAAATATAAATACAGGTTACTTTTCAACAGATCAATTCAAGAGTATACAAGAAAAATCATAAAACAAAAGAAAAGCAAGTGAAAAGGGAGAGGAATTTGTGAACAAAGAAACAAGCAAATATAAATCACAAGAAAAATGTCAAACATAACGCAAACAATCAGAACAGTTATTAGGTAATCAGTTTCCAGATAGTCTTTAGATTGCTATAATACTTATTTGCATTAACTAGTGAATTCGGTTGCCTGAAATTAAAATATAACTACTAAACTAGTACTCATCAGTACGGAGTAATTTTCTGTTTCAATGAAGATAATGTTAAAAATAAAGACATGGGTTTTACCATTGATCAAAGCTAATTAAAAATGTTCACATACATACACACCTTGTAACTTGAATCAAGTGTAGATGCAAACTCTTGTAAATCAACTCTAGCTGTTGACCACTGTTCGAAAATTTTACTCAAAGATTCTGAAGACCATAATTCTGTATTCTGACATGTTACCGAAGTTTGACGATTTTGGGAAGTACCATGTTTGATGCATGCACTTAAAAAATTAATTCGATAAAATATATATTTATTAATTATATTAACCATAAGGAATAAAATGTAATTAGGTAAGAAGAAGTCATAAATAAGGTTTAGAAAATAAAAGGTTTTAACTCAATCATATTCACATACAACCAATCAATAAAGCAATCGCAATATTTACTGAATTGTCAGAAACTCAAGAAAATCCATGAAGCGTACCAAAGTTAATGAAAGAAACTCAGTCAAACTCACAAACAACATATATTCGATTGCTAATTACAAAGTCAGAATGGACGAATTGCCTTTTTTTAAAGCTGTAAATCATTCTTCGAATCACTGAGTTTACAAAAGAACACAGAAACATAACTAGTCTATCATTCAAAGGTATACAAACTGTTAAAAAAACTACCGGATTCATAACTTGACAAAATATGTTTTAGAATAACTGACAATAACCATTTATATGCTAAGTTACTGAATAATCCGCGAACACACACACACCTTGTAACTTGAATCAGAAGATATTGTAGGCTCTTGTATTTCAATCCGAGTAGTAGACCATTTACTAGTTAAATTATTGAGAGAACCTGACGACCATAACTCCGTATTCTGACAGATAACCGAAGTTTGGCGATTTTGTGAAGTACTATGCTTTGTACAAGCACTTAAATTAAAAAATATAATTAAGAAAATGACATACTAGAAAAATGAGCATACACCTAAAAAGAAATAGATTTTTGAAGATGGAAAAAATTAAAGAAAATTAACAAAATAGTAGTAGTATTCATAGTCACGCAAACTTGACTCAATTCAATCAGAAAACATTGAAGTATAACCTCAGCATTCTCGGGAGATAAACTAAACTAGAATAATGGTTAAACAACTGTAAATATGCTCTAGAAAAAATCAAGGTTCAATGTATTTTAAATTGAATTTATCATAATATTAGTTTATGATCACTAACATTTTGGTAGAAATATTGAAAATAGCCTCCTACCATACACAAAAGTTATGTGAAAGGTTGTATCAGTAAGTCTTTGTATTTGTAATGGAATTCATTCGGTTCGCCATTATTATTACGATCATTATTACCAATAATACGATTATTATTACCAAGAATAGTAATAATATTGTCCGACTATTGTAATCATATAAAAAATTCTAATAAAACTTTACATATCAAATGAGTACTTAACATAAATATTATGAGATTTGCGATAAAGCACAATTAGTCAATTGTGAAAGCTTATACAAAACAATCAGTCAAAGAGAAGAAAGAATTCAACTGGGATCCACTTCAACACACAGAAATTTAACATTCATCTAATACCAAGGTTAATTATACGAACTCAGTATGAAAATTTTAAGTGTAAAGTGAGAATAAACTTCTTAAATAATTAATCTTCAAGAATGATATCTAAACAACAACAACAACAAAAAAGTTAAACCACATAAACTAGAAGTATATAATACAACATATTTTCGAACTAAAATACTATTTGAAGGAAATATCGCTAGTTTTGTTAGTACAGTACAAAGAGTAAAACAAATTGCGATATAGTATAAAACACTAGCAAATTATAATCAGAAATACAAAGATCATTTACTATAATGAGAACGTAAAAAACTATGAAATTACTATCCAAGTATTTAGAATTTTAAAGAGTTGTAAAGAGTCCATTCAAAACGAAACTATCCCATAACAATAAGATGATATAATTCATTAAAATTAACAGCTTAAGAAAAAAAAAAGAAATACATCAATACAAGTATACTTATTCACATGATAGTTCATTTCACAAAGTTAATTGAAATGGAAATAAATAAAATTTTGACCTGAAAAACAATGAAAACATATATGTACTAGGTGGAGATTAAACATGTAAATACTACCCTTAAACTTAGTCATGTTTACACTAACTTTATACAATAAATAAATAAAAAACAAAAAAAAAATTCATAATCATATAAAACTAGACCTTAATTTCATATAGAAGAAGAAAAAAAACAGGGGGAATAATTAACCAATCAAAAATAATTATATTATATTATATATATATATTAAATAAATTAAATATTGACCTTATAATCAGTTATAATTTGTTCATTTGAATCAATCAATGATAGAGTAATTGTTTTCCATAAAGATGTTGAGGATAACAATTCACTTTGAGTATGAAATGAATAATCTGACGTCCATAATTTTTCATTTTCACTAGAAAAATCAGTATAAATATTAATGATTTAAATAATTATAGTTATGGAAATTATAATGAAAGAGTTAGCTATAAATTAAGCAGACAAATATTATTTGTAAATGAATTAATGTATTTCTTTACATTTAATAAGAAGTAAAGATGTTCATTTTTGACTGGATGAAATATGAATCTTTTAATGGTAAATATTATATATTCGCCTTGATGTCATATTGATTCAATCAACGTAAAAAAGATAACACAATCCCGATTTACTTTCACTTTAATCTACAAACATATATTTTCCAATTATTTGTAGTGATTCATTGAATGAACAATATTCGTGAAACTAAGCGATAAATTCACCATCCACAATAAACAGCCGTCAATTTTTTAGGCAGAACACGTTGGTTTTAGCAATTCACATTTGAAGATGATTCAAATGTAATCGGTGTAAAAAAAAGGAAGTGAAATTAGGTTTTAAAAGTAAATAAAAGAAAATTAAAAATAATAGGCGATAACACTTGGCGAACACAGTGAACATTTCAAATCGCCTGGAAATAATGAAGTTTTATGTCAATTTTTGACATAGAACCTAAACATTCTTTTAAGATATTCACTGCAATGTAACTTTCCGGATGTACAACAAAACAACAGATGAATTTTTTTTGCAAGATACGTTTAACAGCTATGAACACCACTATATAAGTGATTAGTTGAAATGGCAGCTCATTTATACAAACACAATAACAGAAAACATCTAAGCGAAAAATAAGTGTATAGCATACAATGAAATATTCTGTATTTGGAAAAAAGTGAATCCATTACACAGCAACCAAAGAGAAAAAAAATACAATCATTAGCAGTCTATTGTGCATCGAAACCAAAAATAGTATCTAGCTAGAGGAAAAGCCAAATTCTAAGCAGAAATATTTTTTAAAAAAACACATCTCATTTGCATAAATGATTAAAGAAATGGGTAAGTATGTGTTTGTTTAAGACCTAAACATCCATAGTGAGTTAATAGTGATGATGCATGTATGAAAAGTATTAGTCACACATGAATATTTCAACAAAGGTTGGAGTAAAAAACGCGATATAACAGTAAAATTATCTTTCAGTAAAGTAATGCATTATTGTTGTTGATCTACGAATGTGGATATAAATGGATACCTAAAACAAGAATCTTACTGGGCTGACAGAACATAATTAACAACAATGTTGTGGCGAATTTCAATCATTTACTTTCCATTGGAATATAACTATTAACATACAGAATTGGTACGATAATATGAAAGCAGTTGACTAATCAGTAGACATCCAAACAACTGTTACATCATTATCCTTCAGTTATTATTATCGGTAGTATGCTAATCTAAAACTATTACAAGATCTAATCCAGAACACCAAAATCACACAAATAATAGGTTGTTTACCAGATGAGTATTTAATTTTAGCCCTAATGAACAGATAATGTAAACTGTTCACCTACTTCAATCAGAAGGTTCGTTCTTATTATCAACACACTTAAAAATGTAATCCATAAATCTCAGAGAACAGTTAATAATAATCTACCTCCTAAAGAATTTTTAAATCCATCAATTCGAACAATGAAATACTATGCAATTAAGCACTGAGAATAAAGTAAAAACGAAATCAAACTAACTACTGAGCTTATTCACTTTTTTCAAATATTACTCAGTTACTAGTACTCCAATCAAGAAAACTCGTTGACTTGAATGTATGAACAATTTTGAAAATTCTTTGGTTTAGAATAAATAATCTAGAACCTATGCAATTGTCGAGTTCAAATCTGAAGAAAAACGAAAATTTAAATAGAAACCAAGCTTTAAAGTAACTGCATAGTATATTAGGCCGTGAGAATAAAAGAAAAAGCCTCTCATATGTATTATTAAACAAATCATAAAATGAAGTTATTTACGCATGAAACAAAAACTGTTACTGGCAAAGCTTAACTAAATAGCGGAACAAACTTGAGATCTTAACCGATTTAACCAATCAGGAGGCAGAAAAATATATGAGTGATTTATGATGTTAGATATTAGGGACACGATACGGGTTTAGTGATGAAAACACTAAACTTAATACTCCTGGAGTTCTAGTGAGAAGTCGTTACCAGTGGAGTTCAACCAGGTCTGTTGTGAGATATCAACTCACTGAAGACAATGGTGTACGGTGGCACAACTTCGTGGATTGGTTGAAGTTAGACATTAACTCCTTTGGATGCCAGCTCAGTGGTCTGGTTGGTTAGGTCCTGGGTTCGAATCTCGCGGAGGGCGGGATCATGGATGCTCACCGCTGAAGAGTCCCATACTAGGACGAAACGGCCGTCCAGTGCTTCCAGGTTTTCCATGGTGGTCTAGCTTCAATTGACTCATGATTTCAACAAGTGAAATTAATACAGAATCTTGATTAGAACACTAATTTCTGATCATATACTGATAAATGCGTTATGATTTTGAGGTGATTCGCACACAAGCCATTTGACTCGGCGGTATAATTCACCATTTACAGTGATTTAAATAATTTCTATTTTTCAAAAGCAAAACAAACACAGAGCACTAGCTAATACACCTCAATACAATGTAAACGAAATGCAGATAAATGAAAAAGAAATAAAAAGTAACACGATGATATTGGCTAAATAATTTTAGTTAATAAACAAAACAAAAAGGTAACTGGTTTCAGTTAGGTTATGATGTATTTTTTTTAAGAAAAAAAAATGAGGGAAAACAAAATGATAAGCAGAAAATCTAGTTATAAATAAATGAATATTTCAAACAACTTTATAATATGATAGTGGATTATCCATTCATGTGATAGACATTTTTATGTATTTATCTGTTTATCGGAAGCAGTTTAAGCTTACCACAATAATGATTCTTTTCTTCCATTTACAGTCTTTTTAGTGCATGATCTAAAATATGAAGTGGTGAAATTGGAATGAGTCAAGCATAAAACTAACCATACGAATGACGACTTTTCTAGAAAATGAAAATATATTGAAACGAATAGTAATTAATCAAAGAAATAAAACTAATTGGAAGATAACAATAAACATAGTTTAGTTAGAAATAAGTAAAAGGACTGAATATAGATGGGTGTAATTAGTTCTAGTCTATTTACAGAGATTATATCTATAAAACATTATGAGACAAAATTTTAGCACATACATTAAGTCACAAAACAAACATTCAATATGCAAAGAGGCAAGTGTAAGTTCACAAGTAGACAATAAAAGACAAACTTTATGTACTAGAAAAAATGACAGTTCTTAACCGCATAGTTTGATGTAAGTAAATTATAGAAATAGTTTAGAATTTTTAGACGGATAATGACGATTCTATGAGTAACAAACTTGTTATTATAATATAAAATGAAAATTTGTGTCAGGTTCTAGATTGCTTATGGTTGACCGATTGCATGATCTTAAGACATACATAGAAACACTACGATTAAATGAATTCTTTACGATCATGAACAATAATAAGAAAATATTTATCGTTCAAAGAAAACTGCACACCTTGTAATCTTTTGAAGGGAAACCCAATGATGACTTAAATGGAATATCCACATATATCATTTTCCATAACGCCGGATTATTCTTGTCAGTAATAGTTTGCCATAACAACTCACTTTTACTAAATCACAATATATGATTATGTATACTATCCTGCTTACCAATTTTGTGATTGCATAACAAGAGTTCCATCAACTTGCTCAGCTTGTTGAGAGCAAGCACTATATATAGAAAAAAGGGATATTTACAGAATAGGTTTTATAAAAACAAAGAAAATCGTATCATGAAATATGATACATACCGTTAATAGTGACAATAAGTGATGATCAAAGATAAGTGAAACATGGACATTATGTTTCGTCATGCATACACACATACAAACATAAATGTGTATTCGTCCATCAAATGAGTACTATATTCCAACCAAACAACAAAATAAGAATGATGGAGAGGATTCACAATGTTACAGGGAGAATCATGTAAGGAATTGAAATCAAAAATATTGATATACACTTTGTTAGTATCAAAAAACAGAATAGTGAACTAAAGTTAAAAAAACGGTAGACACAACTATTACGCATATTAGAATGCTATATTTACATGGAAACTTAACTTCCGAAAATTTCTACAGGTAACTGCAAATAGTCTATTTAAATAAATTCCGTTTTTGTTGAAATTCTATGCTTATGATAACAACAACACAGAAATGTACTGCGTTGGGATATTATAACTTATCAATTTTGTTAATTATCAAGTTTATTATAAACTGTAGTGGGGGTAATTGAATATTAAAAGGTAGGTTTTTCACAAATTGCATTGCTCTAAAGTAAAAACATGTATTCAAATATTTGGTTAGTGAAACGAAGACAATCAGAAGGTAACTGACTATCGTCATATTCATCATGACAGATCAATAAGTAGAGATTAATCTAGAAGACTTATGATATTTACACTTATAAATTCTACACTTTGTTATTAGAGATTTACAAATACTACTTACATAAATATTTAAAAAAATATCAGACCATTATATTTAGTTATACAACGTTGGTTTTAACGAATTCTTAATGAAAAACTACTCAGTCTACTACATATGAAATAAACAAAAGGTCACAACAACAACAACAACGACAAAACATCCAATCATTAGAAAAACTCGTTAGCAGGTTATATTTATGTAGGGATTTTGAGGGAAAAGCTTTGACACAAAAACAGAATAGAATAAATTTAGTTAAACAACTAATAAAATTTAGGATAAGAATTACGTGGTGAAAATATACAAACGGATCTGTTTAGTAATAAACAGTTGGTCATGCAAATAACCCATCATTCGTCTAACCGATTCCATAAACAAACACTTTAAATAATAAATAATAATGAAAAAAATGAATGTATACATTACATGTAAAAACAAGTTGATTAGAAAGGTTGCTAACCTCAGGCATTATAATGAATCAAAAGGGATTATGAAGTGGGTTTTTTTTTTGAAAACATGTACTGAATTCGCAGGCTTATTCTATTGATTTATCTGACCTCATACAACAATAAAGTGGGTTAAGAAATAAGGATGCCTAAACAAACAGAAAAATTTAAAATTGTAATATTCCCATATTGTAAATTTAAATCAAGCAATGAATCGATCGTCACAAGTTGAACTTAAGTGATTGCTTGCTATTTGCGAATTTGTTTACAAATTTGTGATTTGTAACAAAGTTTAGCTATTTAATATAAGTTGGATAATTTGGATGTAATCGATCAGCATTCAACCGATATTTAAGGCTCCGCTAGTGAGAGCCGACTATTTGGTTTGTTTTTCGTTAATATTCACCGATCATAAATCACTATTGTATTATGTGAATCAGTAACGTCAACGTGACTCAGGATAAAACTAAATAATAGGCTAAAATACAATTCCAACAGACTGGATAAAGTAACACGATTATTTTGGCAACAGATGGAATTAAATTGTAACTGCTTGACTACTGAGTAGTGACCAATGTCATGTACGTCAAGTGCTTCTTAGTACTGGTCTAATTCTATCGATGGAACTAGTGTGGTGTGTGCGACTTATATTGACATAAGTAGTAGATGATGTTAGTCGTGAACAGAATGTCTGGTAGCAGAGAGACAAGAGGATCGAACAGTAAAGAATGGAAACAGAATGCAATTTGTATGAAAGTGCAAGAACAATGAAGTCTGAGTCATCATGATACAATTGATGGACATTTTGCAAATTAAGTATTTACTATTTGATTGTTAGATTTTATTAACAAGTCCTATAATTTTGTGTTAAATACATTAGATTGTCCCCACCCGTGTTCTGTTCACTACACTAGTACTAACGAATGAAATGAATCTATGCAACCGAATAACTAGTTATAGGTCCTTGTAGTAAGATACGGGAGCTACATAACAATGCTAAGCAATAATTTAAGTACATGATGGTCTACAACCTAACGTTAAACAAACACACAACAAGATTTAATTTGCAACAAGCAGTTTATATCAGACACTAGTACACATACACACAATTTATACGCAAACATACATACAAAATCCACAATATCAAACTAGCAACGTATAGAACTGCCTGAAACCACACCAAACTTCAACACAATTTCCACCGCACAAAACATGACGAACGACACTGCTTATTGATGTTAATCAACTAATTGGGCTTCATTTAATTCAACACCTATATGAACATAAACAAACACATCCTTATATACACATGCACGTACATACAGCAAACATTTACAAACACATACAGTGAATATGAAGAGAGCATCATAAAGCGACATACATAGTAACAAAAAATTATATAACAATCTAAAGATTAAAGAATAAGCCTAGTTAACGTGAAAGAAAGATAATGAAATACGATATAAATCCCTATGCCTTAGATAACCTGAAAAAGATATTGAATTACACTTAACTACAACTAATAAATAAGTTGGAAACACAACAAAACAACGACAGTCATCCAACAGAGATGAAGAGTAAAAAGATTGAATATTAGAATATTGAAAATGGAAGTAAAACATCAAAGAAAAGAGGATAAGAATGAATAATATCAATTAATATATATATAATTCGATCCTAATTTTTTGATACAGCTCACCTTCTGTATCGAAACTTATTAATTATCAATATACTCAAATGCATTGATAGTAATATGAAATAATAAAAAGTTATTAACTGAAAAAAAACCACGCATATCCAGAGATGATCACTGATTGAATTACTAAAAAAAACTATAAGTACAAATTCAAGAAGTTACAGTGAAGAGTGGCATTGATTTTTTTCCTGCAAGATGTTCTTTTATTACATATTACTCGGATGAAGACTATGAAGTAAATTAATCTTATTAGGATGGCAGAATAACAAGTTGCGATCCCCTCACAAGGTTGATGAATTTCGGATCCCGTCAATAAATATGATGAATGGTTATACTTCAAGACGTTTTCCTTGGATCCAACCATCAGTTGAACTGGGTCGTTGCACATAGATGACAAGAGTGGGAACATATGTATTAATAACCAGTACACAGATTGACGGACAAGAATTCTGATTTAACGCAACAAAAGAACCCTTCATTAATGATGAAATTCAGAGACTGATACTCATAATAATTCGTAGAACACACGAAAACACTTCGAACAAACCAAAAATGAAACTGCCGAATGATAAGCATCTCCTCCAATCTTACCCTGAAGAATGTCGAAGGAGAGTGAGCTGAGGGATATATCGACTGTAATTTACTGTGGGTGGCTGTATTGTTTGTTTGTTTTTACTCTCAATCATGTAAGACAACTTTAAGCATTGATAATCGATATGCGATTTCAGACGATGAAACTTATCACTCCAAAGTCGTCCGGAATAAACATCTGCAGAACTAGTATCGATTTCAAATGGAATCGATCTCTCTGTTTTTTCAGGATTCCCTTGAAATGCAGATAAAGACATACAAAGAATCCCATTCACTAAACCATGCTTAGTTTTTGAATGTTCAATTCGCCAATGAGCTTCACTATTTCGTGGGTCGGGCATCCAACGGCACATTCCAAATTTTTCAAAATCACAATTTGCAGGCGAAATGGGAGATGAATGTCCATTGAAACGCTTTTCATAGCCTTTAATCAATTAAGCAAGATACAAAGGTAATAAAGTTTAAGGAAAACTTTCAGATCACATAAATTCAAGCCGCCCAAAGGAAATAAAAGTGAATTTGAATAAGAGATAAGAGGAAGATAAACTGTACAATTATAAGTTTAAGAATTACTTAATTAGTTTACTGCTTTGAATTGAGCTGTTGCACATTAACGAGGAAGAAACTTGGACAAAATTACATAACAGTACAAATATCTTAAATACCCCTAAATATATTCAGTCAGATAATCCGACCTGAGAAAACATGAGGTATTTTGGTGGAGCGGTAACTATCAAGATGAAATAAAGTTATCAAAGTCGAAAAAAACGGTTAGCCAACAACTCCTAGTCATTTGGTCGGACAAAAACTAATCCGATGAACTTCAGTGCTGTTTTTTATATTTATCATAACGATCAACTGAAGATAACACTATAAACCGATATTGAGTAATCAAACTAAAGATTGTTCAAATCTCAAGAATAATAACATTTATCACCATTATCAACATGAATGAAATACATCAATGTGTGATAAAGCTAAGGTTTATTTAATTGGCTAATGATATGCATTTTATGAGGATGACAGAATGTAGGTATTTACTAAACACACTAATCTGATGTTGGCACATTTTCATGTGAAACACTTTAGAATTATAAAAGTTGAAATTTTTCATCTAACTATATAGTCAGTACCATTAATTTAACCGAACACTGGTTCATTTTAAGGAATAGAAATGAAAGGGTAATAAAAAGAATAAATACAGACGACAGCTATTCCAACTATCCAATTGTTAGCCATATTATATCTCCATGAGAAAGAAAATCAAACTTTGCTTTGTATACCGATCGATTTAAGATGAGTTTCCATTAAATGCAAATCATTTTCGACAGTTTTATTCAATAACTTTCAGTGCATGTTAATTAGATGATTTTCACTATGATTACTTATTTTATGACAATCACTCATTTAATATAATTCTGTAATTTATAGTCACTGAATCAATATGAATTAGTTTTGATGCAAATCCAGTCCTTTTGGTCTCATGTAATAAGATTAGTCTTTTGGAGTAGCTGGGATGAAGGGTTAGGAACAGACAAAGGTGTTATATCGTAGAGTTGTTAGTCATCACCGCTTATTCTACATTTGAAACACGCCTGGAACAAAACTGAAGATAATCATCCAATTTTCCAGTAGAAAGAATCCAATAATTAGTTGAATTGAGAATTTCTTCAAACACAATACAATAATAAGTATCTCCAAAATGATTAAAGATGACTCCGTTCATCATTTGCTTTTTTTACTCACTTTTTACAATGTCTACATACTTTCTTCATATAACATCTAATTCTCTCGTGACTCAAATACAATTCCATGTGAACATTAGTTGTTGCGTCTGTTTTGAATCAAAATGAAGATAACAACAAGTTTTCTTAACCACAAAATCATTGCAGTGAAATCTCTAGAGATTATTGAAACGTTGTTTCGTTTGCATAGTAAAGACGATATTGTTAACCGAAAACCATGATAAATTTTTATGACTAATAATGTATTTTCTTGCTGATTCATATAAATTTTACTGAGCAGATAATTACCAAACTGCAGTATGAGTATAGAGTAGCACTTGATAAGGATAACAGATCTTACCCATCTGAATGTCTCATAATTGTCAGTCGACCTTTAGGCGTTATTTTTGGTGGTATGAAATAGGTGAACTGCAGGCATTGTATCTCATGACTTTTAGTTGCTTGCTAACACGAACATGACCACTCCATAAGCGAGCTGAAATATCTGTCTTAAATTTCAAATCAGAAACATCTTGATAAAGTGATATATCTG